AAATAAATAATAATTTCTTTTAAAAATCGAAATAAAAAATAATGGAAAATTAAGTTAATCATTTATGGTGGCAGACAACTCATTCAATGTCTCACTGATTTGTACATTTGAACTACTCAGCTCTTTTAAATGCTTTCTATATTGGAATCGCTCACTCTTTTGAAATTCAAATTCTGAATTGATTTCAAATTTTGAATTTCAATTTTAAATTTCAAATTGGAATGGTGGAAAAGGATTTGGAAATAAAAAAATTAAATAAATAATAATTTATTTTAAAAATCAAAATAAAAAAACAATGAAAAATTAAGTTAGTCATTTATTGTGGCAGACAACTCATTTAATGTCCCACTACTTTTTTGTTATTGTATATTATAAGAAAAAAAGACCTATACTTTTCTTTTGTTGTATATCCACTATTTTTTACATGGATAATTGTTAGCCCTATTAATGCTGAATAAAAAAACAAAACATTAAAAAAATTGTAAAATAACAAAATTAATTATATTGTAAAATAAATTTGAAATTTGGAAATAAATTAAATGAAAAATTATGTGAACTTGATATGTGGAAAAAGAGTTCAGCATTTAATATTTATGCAGTGGAAAAAGATTTATATAATAAATTAAATTTAATATAAAATTATAGATTAAACAATAAAATATTTAAAATTATAAAAAAATATTTATAATAGATAAAAATTATTTAAAATTTCAAATTTAAAAGAAAAAAAATAAGAAATGGCACAATTTATACTTTACAAAAAATAAATTAAAATTTTAACATAAATTTTTTAATTATACATGTATAACCAATTAAAATAATATACATGTATTTTTAAAAAAAAAATTAACATAATTTTTTTAAATATACATGTATAACCACTTAAAAAAAATATAAAAACCATAAATTAAAATAGAAAAAAATTATATAAAAGAATATATACAATTAATATAAAAAGTTTTAAATTTTAAATTTAAATAAAAGATGACGTCTGTCATTCTGTAAAAAAAAAAATTATTAAAATTTAAGAACTATAAAAATTAAAATTTTAATTTAGAACATAAGAAAGAAATTAAACTTTCATTTTTTTTTTTTATAAACAAACTTTCATTTTTTTATTGCAATAGTGTAATTAACACAAATACTTGCAAAAAATAATTATTTATATGAAATGCTAACAGTTAAAGGTGGAAAACTGGGCTCGTCTCGGAGGGCCACCCCGCCAATATATTTTTATAATTCAATTGAAATTTTATCTTTCTTCTTTTATAATTAAATTACTAAATCTGATTTCAATTTTTGTAAATACAAATTTGTGAAATTTCAAAGACTAACGACACTAATCCTTGCAAAAAAAAATTGCAAGTATAAAATGCTGATAGTTAGAGGTGAAAAGCTGGACTCGGCCCGGAGGGCTGGCCCGCTAATATATTTTTATAATTCAACTGAAATTTTATCCTTCTTCTTTTATAATTAAGTGTCGGTGCGCTTGATGGTTGGGATTTTGGAGGGAAGCAATGTGTTGGTTGGAATAATTTGGAGGGAAACATTGTTCTGGTTTGAATAATCTCGAGGAAAGCAATGTTTCGGTTTGAATAATCTGGAGAGAAGCAACGGATAGGGACAGGGGTATTTTGGACATAAAATTAATAAAATAATTTAATAAAAAATTAATAAAATAATTTAATAAAAATTTAATAAAATATATTAATAAAAATTAAAAAAAAACATGATAAAAAATTATGTTTAACACGCAAGTACGAACCGTGTGACGAGTCGGCCGGCCCGAGGCGTCGGTGCTCTTCGTGGTTTGGATTTTGGAGGGAAACAACGTGTTGGTTGGAATAATTTGGAGGGAAACATTGTTCTGGTTTGAATAATCTTAAATCTGATTTCAATTTTTGTAAATATAAATTTGTGAAATTCCAAAGACTAACGACACAAATCCTCGCAAAAAAATTATTTATTATTATTTTATAAATCTTATTGTAGTAAATGAAAGTTCATCTCTGGGATAAAACATAAAAATCTAGACGCAACTATAAAAATCTTTTTTTATGGATAAATATAAAAACCTATTACATGCTTATAGTTAGAGGTGACAAACTGGACTCGGCTAGGAGGGCCGACCCACAAACACATTTTTATAATTAAATTAAAATTTCATCCTTTTTCTTTTATAATTAAATTCCTAAATCTGATTTTAATTTTTGTAAATACAAATTTGTAGAATTCCAAATACTAACGACACAAATCCTTGCAAATAATAATTATTTATTATTATTTTTTAAATGTTATTGCAATAAATGAAAGTCTATCTCAAAGATTAGTGTAGTTGCTTTGATTCTGTTCATATGCATTTGTTGCAATGTAAGCAAAAAATATGACTTACACATGCTTATTTGATTAAGTTGCATTCAAATTCCGTTCAGACAACATTTTTTTTGGTCCTTAAAAAAATTTAATACATTCTTTTTTTTTTGCTAATACTATGACTTTTGGGTGTTAACATATTAGTGTTACTTATTTAATGAGTTTTTTCCTTCTGTATCGTAGGCACAAGGAACGAAAATCACACAAGAAATGACATATTTAGTAAGTGTTGAACTCATCCCTCCAATGATTGCTATGAAATGACACTGAATGAATAGCGTTTTCATATTATAGGTAAAAGCTGATATTTTAAATCCATATTTGCTTGGTGTTATTGTCACTTTGATTTTGTTGATAAATATTATAGTAAGCAATGATTTGTATGCATTTTTCTTTTTATATCCCTTTCTCGTGTTAACATGGTGTATTATAACATATTATGGTGTATTATGAAGTAGTTGTATGCAAAATTATTTATCCCTCTGAATAGCAGATTTTTGTTTGTTGTTGATATTTGCAAAGCTCTATGTCAATGTTGTAATTTTTTTCACCTGAAATATAGAACAAAATAATAACACAATTTTTTGTAAATATAAGATTTGCAGTGCGATTAACCAATCACGACGAACGACAAAAATTTTAATCTTTTTTCTCGGTGCATCGCACGGATAATATACTAGTTAGATTAGAATCTCAATTGACTTTCAAAATTTTTCTCTCATCTTAGAATTCTGATCATGATCTAACGATGTTGAAGAGGGATAGATACAATAAGCAAAACAAATTCTTTATGCGTATTAATTACTTTCAAGTTTCAAGGGATAATATATTATGCCTACTTTTTTTTTCATATTACTCTACTCTACCTACTTAGGGCCGGCAAAATGGGCTGAGCCCGCCGGGCTGGCCCGCCCCGCCTGCCAAATGGGGCGGGCTGGGTTGAGTCTTTCAACCCACCAGCCCGCCAAACCCGCCCCGCCAAACCCGCCAGCCCATATGGGTCAGCCCGCCACGGGGCGGGCTAGCCCGCCAAGTCATTTTTTTTTTTTTTTTTAGGTTACCCAATTGTTATGTAGCTCCGTATCTTAGATTTCTCTGCTTGCAAGTGGCTTTTTTGAATTGTTGTGGACTGCTCATACAACACTTTGTTACTTGTTTTGTTATTCTATTTTATCCTGATATGATTTTATTTTTTTTTTATTTTTTTTGGATTGAAAGATGCATATTTATATGCAGATTATTAAACACTGATCTTCTTGGTTTCATAAGCACATTAGGATTTTATACAGATTTTTGTATGCTTTTATACAGATTTTTTTATGTGATTTTATGCAGAATTTAATTTTTTGTATTTTATTTTTTTATTTTTTTTATTTTAGGCGGGCTGGCCCGTAGCCCGCCAGCCCACTCATAAAACGGGCCGGGTTACTCAATTCAACCCATTTTGTCAAAACGGGCCGGGGCGGGCCAGCCCATTTTGGACGGGCTAGCGGCGGGCCGGGACGGCTGGCCCATATTGCCAACCCTATACCTACTACTCTTCATTCTTCAACATTGTTTGATGACAATTTCTAGAGAAAAAGAACGAGGGTGAGCTCAGATTATGATTCATTTGGATGGGCTTGTAAAAAAAATATTTTTTATGCCTTGCTTATTTTAAAAGTATTTTTTACAAGAGGTAAAACTATTTATTTATTTTTTAAAAATAATATTTGATTTTTCAAAATAATATTTAACTTTTAACGTATTTTTTTTTAAAGTCAAAATTTTTAACTTCCAAAAAAGCATATTAACTTTTTTATGACTTTTTTTTTTTTTTTTTAAAAGCAGAATTCAAACAAATTTTGTAGTAAAAATGCTTTTTTTTTTCTTCTTTAAAAAAGTCTATCAAAACTGGTCCTTAATGGCATTTAAGAGGAGTAAGAACAATAAGCATGAAAAAAGGTAAGCATATTATTACTCGTTCTCTATTAATATTTTAAAAATTCAATTCTTTATTTTTTTTAATGGGAGTGTTTCCAAATTTCAATTAAGATTGAGTATCATATCTAAATTAACTAGTAAATATTTCTTATTTCTATATTAAATTAGAATACACTTTTTTTTTTTTTTGAGAATGGCTTAATCTCTTAACTTATTTTTTGTTAAAATAATATATAATGTACAAAATGTATTTTTAAGATCTTAACTATATCATTTTAACTTTCATTTTGTAAAATTATGGCCGTGTTTTATTTTCCATAAATAATAGTGATACCCAGAAACAAGAGAAAAACATTTATCCTCTTTTAAAGGATATAAGTTTATATTCTTTTAGATCCTAACCGTTGATTTTCGTCCATCAACGGTTATAATCTATTGGACCAAACTTAATGGGTCAAATTTATTATTAATTAATTAATAATTTTAATCTAATAAATTATAACCGTTGATGGACAAAAATCAATGATTAGTATCTAAAAGGATATAAGTTTATATCCTTTAAAATGATAAATGTTATTCCCAGTAATTATGGTAATAATAATAATAATAAAAAAATGTACCAAAAAGAAAGGAATAAAAGCTAAAGTGAGGGAAGCAAAAGCACACTACAACATTCTTCTTCTTCTTTGTTCCGAAAGGTAAGGGGAGCATATATCATATACTGAGAAGGAAGAATCATTTAAATTCAGAGAAATTTTCAGGGGTTATTTGGGGTTCCCAATTTGCCCTTGGAATTTCTCTAAATTTTCCTTTTCGCCGCTAATGTAACATACACACACCATAGCCAAAAGCCAGAACCAACCAACTCTGTTAGGACGAGAACCTGAAAGAAAAAAAAAAAAATCAAATTCAAATAATGCTGTGTAAACTGGTACCGCTTCCGCGGAAGAAAAAACCCGGTTCGGTTCCGGTTTACCTTAACGTTTATGATCTTACCCCGATCAATGGGTACGCTTATTGGCTTGGCCTCGGAGTTTACCATTCTGGTGTTCAAGGTAACGCGGTTTTTTTTTTTGTTCCCTTTTGTTCTGTCGTTGGTTCTTCTTTCCTTGGACATGTTCCTAATGAATCATATTTTGGATGTTTGGGTATTGTCAATTACTGTTCCAGATAATTACGGTTAATTTGAATCTGGATTTTTAAATCCAGATCCGAGGATATGCTACCTGTTTGGTAAAAAGCTCAATCCTCGGAATAGGTTAGTGTGCGTAAAAGGAACATTCGTCTGTGTATAAATGTTATATTTCAATATAAACTAATAACGACAATATAAAAACATTCACGAACTTCTTCCTAACTGTTTTTTTTTTTTTTGGGAGTTAGTTACAGAATAAAATGATCTATTCTTTAAATCTATTGAAGGCTAACATCAATGTTGGATACGAATTATAAACTAATAACTATTGTTCTCCATGTTGTTTTAAATCTGCTGTAATTGAATCAGATTTTCATTGTCTGCTTAGATGTTTGTCATTATATTAAAAAATATATATTTTTTTTAATGGCTTCAGTTTTTTTTGTAGTTCATGGTATTGAATATGGATTTGGAGCACATGAACGTAACGCGACCGGGATTTTTGAAGTGGAACCTAAACACTGTCCTGGATTCACCTTCAGAAAATCAATTTTCATTGGATCAACGGATCTGGGCCAGAAGGATGTTCGAGAATTTATGGAGAAGCTAGCTGAAGATTATTTTGGGAACACCTACCATCTTATCCAAAAAAACTGTAACCACTTCTGTAACGATGTTTGTCTCAGATTAACAGGAAGGTCAATCCCTGGATGGGTAAATCGGCTTGCTAGAATTGGTAAGAGATATATGAAAGTGTATTGTGATTAGTTATTATCTTTCATTCATCTTGTTTGTCTTAGTTTGTTTTTCACTCAGATGCTTAGAAGATTTTGCAAGAAGCTATGATAATTGTGAAAAAAGATATTTTTTATCATGAATTCTTTCCTATTTTTCAAAAAGGTGTCAGGCGTTGATGTTATTTTCAGGGATCAATGTGCTAGCTCACCACTAGATTCTAGAATGGCAATCACCCTCTTTTTCCTCTTTTAAATTTTAAATGATATAGGATCTGGACAGGATGAACTAACTCTTGCTTCTTGCATATCAAACACACCTGTGAAAAATGTAGTTATATGGTTATGTTTGAGTTTTGAATGTTATATTGCAGATTAATCTTTGTTTTTTATATCTGCTTTTAGGTTGTAATTACTTTTTGCACTGTTTTCCATCTAATTTTATTGGAAATAAAGAATTGAGTGCTTTTGTTTTGTTTTGTTCACTCTTTGCATAAAGTGACAAGAGAGATGTTTTGCCAGGATTAATTGATGTTTTGTAAAGTTTAAATCTCTTGCTGTTTTTATCATGCTGTAGTGTTCCACATTCAATATGCACTTGTTATGTCATATGTTGCACTTAAAAGTTTTTTATGTTCCTATGATTCTACTTGTAAAAGAGAAGAAAACAACTACTAAGCATTTCCTGATTTCTAATGTTAAGCTCTACTTCTCCTTATGAAGGTTTTCTCTGTAACTGCGTTCTTCCAACCAGCCTAAATGAAGCAAAGATTCCAGTTACTTTAGACAGGGTTCAGGATGGAGAAAAGAAGAAAATTAGAAGCCAGTCCAGGAAGTATGAGGCTTCCTCCAATCTTCCATTGTCTAGTAGCCAAAGACATTGCCTTCCTCCGTCTTCATCTGTAATTAATGCTTGTTCATCCTCAACCTTAACAGTAAAGTAAAGCTTTGACAGGAGACAGGCTCTGAAACATAGGATGTTAGAATCATGTAAGCAACCAAAGATGAGCAGGGAAGCAACCTTTTCATCTGCTTCATCTGTCTATTCTGCTGTATATCTTCAATTGTGTGGCAATGGCTAAAATGGAATGGTTGCTCTGTCTCTGTTCTTTTTAAATGCTTGCTTTCTTTGGTGAACGGGAAGGAAGGGTCCTTTATTTTTAGATTTTTGGGCTACGTATTTCTTAATCTTGATTTATCTATATTAGCTGCTGATGTAGCATATAGTAATGTGTTCATTATGTAAGATAGTGTACATTTAATTAAGTGCGAAATAAATTCAAGACAGGAAATATAAGAGAGATGGTGAGTTGACGGCAACAGAGTCTTAAATTAGCACAAACTAGAGTCCTAATTTCTCAACCTTGTGCTTTAGATACTGAATCTATTCGGGGTTCTCAATCCCATTTAATAGGATCCTTTTCCATTGTGATATGCAAGATATGAAATATTCAGGGAAAGAGAATTCGGGGATGCAGTATTAGAGAGACCAAATTAGCTTGAAATAATATGGGCTCCAAATTAGGCCTGGGACCTTTTGATTTGCACGGTTATTATCCTTCCACCCAATAGGGTTGGCACGGATTTGTAGGTTAAATTTTGTGGGGAATGTTATCGGGTAGATACAGATATAGGCTCCAGCCTATGGTTGGCTGCCAATGTATTATTAAATACAAAGCAATATTGTACGGGAAAAATCTTGGGTAGATATAGATGCAGCTGATAGTCGGCTGCTACCTCAATTAGGTATGATTTGAAAGCTGGAATTTTCTAGGCAAATAAGGAGTCTGTGTTTATATGATCTTCTGAGCTTGGTCCTAGTGTTTTTATTCGCTTTTTATGTTTAGTTTTTATGATCTTTTGAGATCACAGCCTGTTATCTTAAATGCACCTGAGTTGGTATGGCATCCAATAGCTTACTATTAAGAGTGACTTAAGGCACTCTTAACGACTACCCATTACACCTTATCATCATTTTCATTGTCCCCGGTCCAACTTCTCACCTCTAAACGATAATCATCTCATCCAGCAACATATTTCCGGTGCTCCCGGAGTAGGTGCCTTTTTATCTAAAGTAATAAAAAACATGTCATTAATCACAAAAGAGGGGGTAGGGTTTGGTGTTAGGGAGCTTTGTTTTAGTGAGCCAGGTACACATGGTCCCATTTTAAAAGTAGAAAAGAACAAGGGAGTTGGAGAAAATTTTTAAAGAAGCGAGAGACAAAAAAGAAAACACGTTTTTCAAAAAATAGAAAAGGGACCACCATAAGAAAATAGGCCCGGATCATTTTAAAAAATCCCGGTGTTAGGGGCGTTATTTTTTTCTATTTCTAGTAAGTGATGTTCAAGTATTCTCTACTAGGAGCGTTTTTTTTGTCTCCTCGGATCAGCTGAGCCAATTAGAGACAGAGGAAAAGAGAGAGAAAGAAAGATAAAAGAGAGAGAGAAAGGGACTAATATATATTTTTTCCACTCCCAGGAGGAGTAATGAAAATATTTTGCTCATCTCCTTCTCGATACTGCTGGCTAAGTACTTCTAGATTAACGCATTAGCTTTGGCACAACTACTCCCAACAACTTGAGTGGGAGGGGAAAAAAAGTTAAATATGCAAATGAACCACGAAACAGATGTTAGAGAATATAATATAAATCATTAAAAAGACTTTTATCCAAAATATTAAGGTTTTGGGTTGAAGTGGTTCTTTATCATGATATTTGAGTTTAAGTGACCACAAGGTCACGAGTTCGATCATCACCGCCCCTATTTTCAGGTAAAATTAAGAAGAGTACAAGGCAGATTAAATAATGGGCTTGTGCCTCACAAGACAAATCAAAAATAAACTTGTGTCATATCCAATCTTCAAGCCCAAAGAACTCTTGCGTTAGGAGGTGTGTTAGAGAATATAATATAAATCATTAAAAAGACTCTTATCCAAAATCTTAATCTTAATCTTAAGATTTTGGGTTGAAGTGATTCTTTATCAACGGAAAGAACTCTTCTTGTTATCTAGCTCCAGCATTATCCACATGAAAAGAAAATTACTACAAAAACTGAATTTGACATTAGGAGGAAAAAATTATCTGGACTCTTCCAAGTTCTAACATCAATATACTAAAATTCACAGCTAATTCACTGAAATAGATAACGTTAGCATTTTCTTCCTGCCCGCTCTCTTTTCTTGCGCAGTTGTATTTTCGCTTGTAGCAGTACTGTGAAGGATAAGCACCCTATTAATCCTTTTCCCGTACTTTGGATATGCTTGATGCAAAACGTCGCATGGAAGCATGACAATCAACAAAGCTTTTTTTGGAAATCGTGTCCACACAAGCCATCCCTTTCCCTTTCTCTTTTATTCATTCCTTTAGTACTGTTACGGAGAAGGAATCTGAGTTTGGTGAAATTTTTATGGAATATGAAATTATTAAGTATCGTGATCTCTAAGCTTCAAGGGTATTATTAGTCTTCAACTGTTGGTTGGGGATACCTACGGAAGCGTTTGTCACAAGATTTTTTTTAGAATTTTCGGAAAACTTAAAGTGGTAATTGTATTTATTTAGTACAAGATTTTTAAAATTTTTCTAAAAATCTGATTTTTCCAGAATTTTATTTTGTGTGTGTAATTTTTTTTGAAAATACCATCCAGGAATACTATCCAGGGGTGGTATTTTTTAGGATTTCTATGGCAAGGAAAAATTTAATACAACTAAACATAGCATCAAGAAAATCAATCTAATATTTCGAGAATATTTTGGTCTACCAAACAACTTTTTGATAACATTCACAGAAAATTCATCTTCTCATTATATTCCTGAAAATCGTAATTTTCAAAAAAAAAAAAAAATTCTCTTTCACCAAACGGCCTCCGAGAGTTATACTAAAAAAAAAAAAAGTATAACGTGTTAAAATATTAAACTAGACCTAAAAGGTTGGTACTGGTATTTCGGATTCTCTACCTCATTTTATTGCGCCTTCTCAGGAAGGGTGGTACTGGTATAAATAAAGAATGTATGATTATAGTAATTCTTATAGATTTATTTTTTTTCTTTTATTAGACAGATTAGGATTGAATAATTTTTTCTTTTTTTGTTAGATAGATTATGATAGGATTGATTATTGAAAAAATATGTGACAGATTAAGGTTTGATTCACTCCTGAGCTGTTTCCTTAGAATTAATTCTTTATTAGGTAATCAATTATGCATATTAGATAGATATTATAAATATAGGATTGATATTTCTCAGTAAGAGATAATTTTACTTTTTATACACATAAAAATATATGAGTTTTATTTGAGGTCATGTGAAAAGAAAAAAGAAAAAAAATGAAAATAAAGCGCCCCACACTTTTATATATGCATATAAGAGATAAAATTATTTTGTACAATATAATAAATATATATCCCTTTAAAAATGGGACAGGTTATATTTACAAACTTTTTTATATACAAACTCGTACAATCTACATTATTTTCTTCCTGAAAAACAATAATAACATTATCTTCTCTTGGAAGAACATAATGTAATTTATGTAAATTTATAAAAAAAAAATTATAAACGATTATTTCCCTTTAAAAATATATGTACTTGATCTTTTAAGTCCGTATTGATTGTAGTTACCCCCTTCAATGCGGCTCTTTTATTTGCGCCTTTATTACATTTGAAGATCAATTGGTCACTGTTTTTTAAGATCCAACGTGGTTTTATTCACAGAGGATACAATTTTTAATATGATCTACTAATACGACACAAAAGATTTATATTTGAGTCGACTCATTTTTTAATTTATATTGTATTCAGGTTGATAAAATTTAGCCCGAAAAAATTTATGTAGTGTCACATGTCAATCTGCAAATTTGAAATTGATCCGCATTAATTTTTTTTACATATTATTTATATCGTATTATGTCATAAACATATTATTTGTATCTTATCATATCCTGTCGACACGTATAATAAATAACACAATTTGGTGTTGACAGATTATTTATGTTGTGTTGTGTCGTGTCGTGTCGTGTCAACTCGCATAATAAGCGATATATTATGAGTTTGCAGGTTGTTTATGCGTGTCATGTTAACCCACAAAATAAGTGAGTCGTGTTTGTGTAAAATATTTTAACCTAATTTCAAATTCGTGTTATGTTCATGTTAAGTATATTCGTGTTTGTGTCGAATTAGTATCAGGTCGTGTCGACCTAAATTGCCACCTTGGCCTTCTTATGCGCTCCCATGTTTTTACATTTTTAACACATATCCACACGCAAGGGTCTTCTGGCGTTCATGCGTAAATAATGTATATGTCCATCTATTTTTCATTGAATTTTTTATTAAAATAATAGAGGCAGAAATAATAAAACTCTAAACGATTATAAATGCTTTCAGCGATAGATTATTTTACCTACTATTTTTTCTGCATACCTTTGCCTACCACTCTCCAATATCATTGGATCAGAATCTCAACTACATTTATTATTTCTCTCTCCTATTGAGATTCTGATCTAACGATGTTGGAGAGTAGTAGGTAAAGGTAGGTAGAATAACTTATCTCATGCTTTCATACCATGTTACATTTTGAAACCACCCAGATCTCCTGGTCGACCAACGGCCAACCAACCCGCTTCTCATTCCACCATGACTACACTTTTCTCTCCTTATGACCTCCCAATTTTGCATCAGACTTACTACCTCATTGGGAAAAATTATCTATAGCGGTTCCGGATCATTCGGACTACCCTTAAAGGACATCGTAAATTGACTCATATTGAAAGGCAAGCCTTAGACAAAACAGATCCTAAGTTCAATGAGTGGGATGATGAAGACTTGCTTATCATCACTTTTTGTACTAAATGATGGTAGTTGGCACACGGGAGTTGAGGAGTTGAGGAGATGGGAATGCGAGGATGCATTCAATCCTTCCCAGTATCATTTTTAGGAGGATATACTCCGAACTCCAGATTAGTCCATAGAAAATCTATGGAATTACCGGGAGATAAACTCCAAACAAAAATCATCACTTTTTTGTGGAATATTATGTTGGAGATGCTGCTAGGCCCAAGTCCAAGAGGATAGTTGGGGCTCCTTTGTGGG